TACACCATTTTGTTGAGGAGTATATGTTGCGGAGACCTCATGTTTGATTCCAACTTCATCACAATAGGCTTCTATGTTTGTGTTGCCAAATTCCTTCCCATTGTCACTTCTAATCTTTTTGAGCTTCACTTCAAATTCATTTTGTGCTCTTTTGGTAAACTTCTTGAAGCAAGATGCAACTTCGGATTTGCCATAAAGGAAGAATACCCATGTATACCTTGAATAGTCATCAACAATCACAAGACAATATAGATTTTCTCCCAAACTCCTGTATGTTGTTGGTCCAAATAAATCCATGTGAAGGAGTTCTAGCACTCTTGTGGTTGACATGAAAGCTTTGGTTGGATGAGTATTAGCAACTTGCTTGCCGGCTTAACATGCACTACAAAGCTTGTCCTTCTCAAACTTCACATCCTTCAACCCTCTCACCAAATCATTCTCCATTAGCTTCTTGAGTGAGCTCATCCCAACATGAGCAAGTTTTCTATGCCATAACCACCCAAGTGTTGTTTTGGTGAATAAGCAAGTCTTCAAGTTTGCATCTTCGGAGGTGAAGTCTACTAGATATAAGTTGTTGTATCTAAATCCTTTGAATATTACTTGTTCATCATCCTTCTTGGATACAACAACTTCCTTCTCGGTAAACAAATATTGGAAGCCAAGATCACACAATTGTCCAACGGATAGCAAGTTGAAGCTCAATGAAGCAACATATAGCACATTTGAGATAGAATGATCATTTGAAATTGCCACTTTGCCTAATCCTTTAACCTTGCCCTTTGAGTTATCTCTAAATATGATTCTTTCTTATCCATCTACTTCTTCATCTAGTGAGGTGAACATACGAGGATCACCGGTCATATGTTGTGTGCAACCACTATCAATAACCCAATGACTTCCACCGGTCTTGTAGTTCACATACACATAAGAGATCAAGCTTTAGGAACCCAAACTTGTTGAGGACCCTTTACCTTCTCAACAAGTGACTTTGCAACCTAAATTTTCTTAGGTCTATTCTTGTTGGGAGGTCCTAAAAACATGACTTTCATTTTTCCACTAGAGTCCTTTCTAAGCATGTAGTGAGCATTGAAGGCAAAAGGTCTAGCATGCTTGAGCAAGGGTTGTGGTGGTGGAGTTTGGCACTCATGAGCAAAGTGGCCTTCTTGTCCACATCCAAAACACTTCTTTGGCTTTGGCTTTTGTTGATGTTGAGCTTAAGCCTGCTTCTCTTTGTTTGTCATGTACCCAATGCCACTTCTATCCATCTTCATGATGGTGTTCATAAGTAGCTCACTTTGAAGATACTTGCCTCTAGTGAACTTGCTCAATCCAATCTTGAGATGCTCTTTCTCCAACTTGAGTTTCTTGTTCTCTTCCTTAAGAGCATCATTGTTCTTCTCTTCCTTGAGCTTCTTATTTTCTTCTTTGAGCTTCTCATTCTTAAAGATCAAGTCACCATCATGATCAAGAGTTTCTAGCATAATAGTGTTGTGGCTTTTGATTTCTTCAAGATCTTTCTTGAGCTTTGCATTGTCATTCTTGACCTTGACAAACTCATCATAATCATCGGCCTCAACCACTTGCTTGCCCTTACTACTAGAACTTTGCTCAATGCTCTCAATGATCAAGTCATCACATGATGTAGCTATATCAATCTTAACAACATGGTTAGTAGCATCATGTGGCTCATTGGATAGAAATTCTTGAGCTATGACAAGATTATCATGATTAATCTTAAGAGTTGTATATTCTTCTTTTAGCTTGTTGTGGCTAGTGATGAGCTCTTTGTGCATCAACTCAAGTTTATCATGTTTATTTTTAAGCTCTTTCTTAGAAGATTTGAGCTCCTTGAGTTTGGATGACATAGTATCATTTGCTTCTCTAAGCTCAACACTAGCCTTTTCCGCTATATCACATTTTAATAAAAGTGCATCATTTTTAGCCTCAAGCTTTTCATTCTTAGCTCTAATCTTTATAATGATCTTAGTGTATTATTTTAGCAATCTAGTAAGATCATCATAAGTAGGTGATTCATATTCATCATCATCACTATCGCTATCATCATTACTTGCATGTTCATCATCACTACTATCATCATCATTTCATACCTTGCGTTCACCCTTGGCCATAAGGCATAGGTGTGTAGAGGATGATGACGGTGGTGGCGCTGAAGATGATGAAGAGTCAATAATAATAGCGGCCACCTTCTCGTTGTCACTATCATTATCGGATGATCCACTAGATGAATCAATATTCGTGAGCCAATCACTGACGATGTATGCCTTTCCACTCTTTTTTTTTCTTGTGGAAGTCCTTCTACTTGTCATCTCTCTTCTTGTATGGCTTGTCTTTCTTCTTCTCATCTTCATCACTTGAGTCATCTTTCTTGCCCTTGTTCTTATTCTTGAACTTGTCTTTTTTGGGTTTTGTGCATTGGTGAGCTAGATGACCAAGTTCTCCACAATTGTAGCAATCCGTCTCGAAGATTGGCTTCCTTCTAGAGCTTGTGAAGAACTTCTTCTTGCAATCGAACTTGATGCCACTCTTGTTGAGCTTCTTTAGCATCTTGGCGGTTTTCTTCACCATGAGAGTAAGGCTTGCATCATCAAATTTATTATCACTTGAGCACTCATACTCAAGCCTTGCTTTGCCCTTTTCTTGGCTAGCTTTGAATGCTAAATCTTTTTCTTTCTTTGTAGAGGATGAGCCATCTTGAGGTGTGATGTGCATGTACATCTCATGAGCATTGATCTTTTCTAAGATTTGTGTCGGTGTAGCGGTGGAAAGATCTCCTTGATGTAGCACAGTCACAATATGCCCATATTTGTCAATGGGGAGGACACTCAAGATCTTTCTTACAACATCGGATGGTTGCATTTGAGTGAGTCCAAGCCCATTGACTTCCTCTACAAGAATATTCAAACGTGAATACATTTCATTAGCACATTATTTAGGAAGCATTTCAAAAGAGTTAAGTTTTTTCATGACAAGATGATAGTGTTCCTCACGCTCACTCTTTGTTTCCTCATGAAGCGCACAAACATTCGACCATAGTGTATGGGCGTCTTTGTGGTTCCTCACCCGGTTGAACACATTTTTACAAAGGCCTATAAATATGGTGTTTCTAGCCTTTGCATTCCATTTTTCGTAGTTCAACTCATTGCCTTGTGGTTGTGCGGCATCCCGAGGTTTTGGGAAACCTTGTGAGACGGTTCTAAGTATTCCAACATCTAGAGCTTCTAGATACGCCTCCATGCGGATTTTCCAATATGGAAAATCATCCCCTCAAAGATAAGAGGAGGTTCATCCCCGTGAGACATCTTTCACTATGCGGTTAAGCCTAAATACGTGAGCACGAGGCTCTGATACCAATTGAAAGGATCAAGATGTCCAAGAGGGGGTGAATTGGGCTAATTCTAAATTTCTTTGTAATAATTAAATCTTACGGTTAGCCCAATTAACCCATTGTGCCTAAAAAGTGTTTTTAATTGTTCTACCGCACAAAAGACTTCCAACCTATGTTCCAATCCTACTTTAGCATGACAATTCTAAGAATGTAAATGACAAGAATTAAATTGCTTAAAGTAAAGAGAGGAGGAAGAACGCGGCGATGTTTTGCCGAGGTATCAGAGAGTCGTCACTCCCCACTAGTCCTCGTTGGAGCACCCGCGCAAGGGTGTAGCTCTCCCTTGATTCGCGCAAGGATCAAGTGCTCTCTACGGGTTGATTCTTCGACACTCCGTCGCGGTGAATCACCCACAACCGCTCACAACTTGAGTTGGATCATCCACATGCTCTCCGGATGATCACCAAGCTCCCAATCACCACCAAGCCGTCTAGGTGATGGCGATCACCAAGAGTAACAAGCACGAACTCTCACTTGACCACAACAAGCCTATGAGAAGGGTGGATGCACACTTTGCTACTCTTGATCTCACTAATGAGGGCTCTCTTTGGGATTCTCAAATCTCAATCACTTCACTAGGATCTTGCTCTTCTGGACACTCTCTAAGGTGTTTCTCAGCTGTTGAAATGAGCAAAAGTACACGAATGGAGGTGGTATTTATAACATGGGCTGAAAAATGAACCGTTATGTGCCTCTGCGGGGTGACCGGACGCTCCGATCATGTTGACCGGACGCTCCGGTCAGTACACCCCGAACTCCAGTGTTTAAAGTGTGACCGGACGCTGGCGAGCGTCCGGTCGTGATTTTCCCTCTCTGGAACCTTACTGGAGTTGACCGGGCACTGGCTCTCAGCGTCCGGTCACTTCATCTCTCAGCGTCTGGTCGCGCCAGACAATTTCACCTTGGTCAAATGAACTGACCGGACCCTGAGCCAGCATCCGGTCACACCGAAACCAGCATCCGATCAGTATTTGACCCTCCATTCACTTCCAACCAGCGACCAGTAAATGAAGTTTGCTCCATTGGATCTAAGGGCTATTTTGGAGCTACCTAGTGCTAGTTTCAACAAGTGTGCACCACACCTAACTCACTAGACTCATCTAGGTCAAGCTACCCGTCTATACCCCCTTAATAGTACGGCCAAAGGAAAAATAAAGTCCTAAACTACTCTAAGTGTCTTTTCAACTCCAAATGATACTTAAAACTAGTCCATCCTTAACGTTGTCGCCCATCCTTTGAAAACCGAAACGATTTCCATCATAAGGGCATGACCACCATGGTTGCCCAATCAATCTCCATTACCATGACCTAACTTAATTGCCTCTGCAAAATACACGTTAGTCATAATAATCATGTATTGTCATTAATCATTGAAACCCAACTAAAGCCGTAGATGCTTTCAATCCAGACCAGTAAATGGCAACTGAAAGTGACCGAGCAACGATTGAAAGAGACCCCAGGCTAACAGCGTATGCAACCAGCATGCGTCAAGCATTCTCGTTCATCATCATTCTTTTTTATTTGGTACCACAGGATCCACAAATCTCGTGCAAGATCCATTCAGAAAAGCCGAACCCGAAAAAGAAAAAATGCTTCACGACGCGATGTGGTGGGACCAGGGATCACATATGTCCATATGAGAAGCAAAATAGCAGGCAGATGGAATTGGTGCAGGAACACCGGGCGAATATGGCTGGACACGTGACAGAACCAGTTCTTCTACATTTTGCAAGGTGTAACAGAACCGGGCACTTACCAGCAAGCTCATGTATCAAGGATTTGATGCTTTCTTCGCGTGAAATGGGTGATCTGTTCGACTGTTCATGACGGGCATGCTCGTAACATGTCAGCAACTCTCTTTGATTATGTTTCCATGTTGGATTGACGATGGCCTGGCACCGACACGCAAAAACCTGCATAGCAAAGACTGAAGAGCACAGGCCCTGTTTTTGTCAGTAGCACCTGGTAACCGCTACTTGTAAGGCTAATGGTACAATCAGAACACCATATCTGCTGGATCCATAGTACGTATCAATTAAACCGGCACCATGATGAGCTCAGACAAAGCATTAAATTGGATAAACGACCTCTTCTAATCCAGACAAAACAATCACTATAGACTGGGAGTATTGAGATCATCAAAGTCAAAAAAATGTGCCGACCATCTTTCTGATGGAACAGAATATGGTGTTGTGATTGTACCATTATTTCTGATGGAACAGAATTCTGAACAATCTAATGAATCGTAGCTGTCACCAGAACACACTGCATTGTGTACAATAAAATGAATATGAACAGTATGACAGAGCATTTCTTCATAATTTTGCCGACAAATTTTCTCAGGACTCCACAGCCAACTGGTGGACTGGTGTTACAATGCTGAAGTCGTGTGTTAATCAACGTGCTATTCTAGTAGCCAATGAAAGAAACGAAGATATTTCTTTACAACATGTATCGTGCCTTTCTACGAAGCAACAAAATAATATGATACCACACACTGAACCAAAAAAAAAAGTCGCTGTTATTTTTCTGTCTCCCCCGTGGTCCCGTACCTTCCTTTACATTTGTGTGAAGTGAAATATTCTCGTAAGGGTGAAACAATTAAAAGTCAGTTGCCCATGCCACTATATTCATCACTTTGAAGCTATCAGTGACTGCACAAAACAAATTTGAAATTACTGTAAGCAAAGGACTTCGCTATTTATTAGGCTAACACACTAGTTTCTAAATTTGCATATGCTCCCCATGTATCAAGCAAGAACTGAAAAAGAATGACATGGACTTACTGAATCAAGAAGCTTGAGACCCGCTCCACGTGTAAACTTCCTAGCAAAAAGGAAGCAGGGTGCTGGCTTTCCATTACTTGTACACCACTCCCTCCTATTTTCAGTCTCATAATATATATTATCGATATCCTAAAAATGAGAAGAATTGATCCTCAGCAAGCAGTAAGGAACTATCATGCACACTTCTTTATGGAAGCTTATTTTGGTATAAATTGTCACATCAAGAATCAAGGCTGACAAGCGACAACCCTGATACAAAAGCATCAGCCTTCGAAAACAGACATTTGTTTAAGACATCGGTTCTTCGATTGATGAAGTATTAACCACCACCGGTGTTACATGTTTAAGACATTCACCTCCTTTTCCTATAAAAGGTGCTTGTTGATTTATTCATTATAGCAAATTATATGATTACATTACTTGTCAAATTAAGGCAAACCAAAACAAAATTCAAATGGTGATGTACCCTTTGGTTTCCCCTTTAATTAAAGGGCGTACCCAGTGCAGAGAGCTCCCGCTCTGTGCGGGGTCTGGGGAAGGGTGTCGGTGGCAAGCCTTACCCTCGCCTGTGCAATGCGAGGAGACCGCGACTCGAACCCGGGACCTTCCGGTCACAGGCGGTAAGACTTACCGCTTGCACCAGGCCCGCCCTTCAACTTGCTTGCGCCAACTTGCATGCGCCAAAAGTGTTGTCATTGTGGATGTTGTTTTAGGCTTTTAGCAAATATATATAAGTCGTAAAGGAAACAAACGTGTCCAGATTTGAAGAAACTATATACCTTTATAGATTTGATAAGTCTAGGAGTAGCATCAGACACTTTATATGTTACAGGATGCCACCCACGTCTTTCACGATCTTTAGAAGCTGAAAGATCCCATGCACTATGTGTTACTGATCGCCGTGTAAGTTCTTCTTCTAGACCACTTTGCTGCATTGTAGAAGAGCTGAATGATCAGCGAACTTAGTGCAGAAAAAAATTATGCAAAGAATATTGTTATAATCAAGATCATTGACTTACAGCAAGCAACGTCTGAACATAGTGCTCATCTGGTATGCAGTTATGGGCTTTCCATGCCTCTGCAGGCTGCAAAAACAAAAGGATAAATGGCATTTAAACAAACATAATTATCAACTGAGCTTCCCTTGTAAAACACTAAAATGTAAATACAAATAGATGAAAATATAGAGTTTGGCAAGTATTCTGATGCACAAGAATAATACTATCTCTTTATTTTATTTTGGAACTTCAAAAACTAAATTATATAATTATTTGGAAGTTTAAATCAGCATTCATACTGCGATCCAGAAAAGTAACCATATAAAAATCTAAAAAAATTAATGCAATTATTTTGGACTTCTTCATATTTTGGTTCTCATGAACCTACAATGGTCCCTTCTACTTTCCTATCTCAGATAACAATTTGAATTGTCCTCCAAAAATGATCTAATAGTTTTGCTTGACTTTATTTTACCAGAACCCCATTTACTCCCAGTCCAAGTTGCTGTTGATTTAGTTTTTAACATAACTAGAAGTATAGCCCGTGCATTGAGGCGGGACTTTCTTAAACATAAATCTGTTATATACATAGCATTACTATATGGTATTATGTATACTGTGTATACATATATATATGAATTTGACTTGCATGTTATTTTATTGTATCAGATCTAGTAAAAAATAGGTAAGCTAATAGAAGAAAAACCAATAGAATATTTGATTACTTATAGAGGAATAGGTGATGAAACAAATAGCATATGTAGATGACTTGTATGTTAATAGATTAAAGGTTTAAAGTATTTCACATGATAGAGATGACATGGACAGTTTTTTGTAATTAATAAGGGATGACATGGACTTAGTGGGGAATGATGTGGACACCTTGCATGAAGAGATAGAACATCTAGTGGGGTCACTTAGTGGGGAATGATGTGGACACCTTGCATGAAGAGAAAAATCATCTAGTGGGGTTTAGCTTTATAAGAGTATATAGATCAGCGCACATGCCCCACAAGTAGATCACAATGCAGATCACAATGCGAGTCTCCGAGCCAATTCTGGGGGAGACCAAGATGACATGGTTAGAAGTGTACCTACCAGGGAGACTGCTTTTCATAGGAAATCTCAGTGGTAATGTAGGCACATCTAATGTAGGATTTGAGGTGGCATATGGGGGTTTTGGGTATGTCTGTAGGAATCAGGAGGGACAGGACATCTTAGATAGAAGCATGCAGAAAGAACCTGAACCATAAACTAGTGTTAACTATTAGTACTGTCATTAACGTCCTTTTGTATTTTTATTATGTTTGATCGAGATGTTTTTTTCCATGTTGGTGGCTCATGCTAGGTTCCATCCGAAGCCCACTAAAACTTGTTTGGGACTAACAGGCTGTCAGGCTCTGTTGTTGATGATGATGGGATTTGAGATATACATTTTTACAAGTAAAAACTGCTAAAATGGCAATCCATAAATCACGTCATGAATAAGAAAGGGGATTGTTCAGTAATATACTGAAATGTTTTCACTTACAATAGGACGATCCCAATCCCGCCAGAACTCTGGCAAGGGTCTCCTCTGCAGTATACAGAAATATATGATTGGTCAATATTAGAAATTGAATAGATGTAAGAGCTTAATGTAAATAAGACGAGGATTCATAATTTGAGAACTGATGCTATAACAAAATTGGATTGATTGTCACCATAAAAGGAGAGCTACAGATAATTTTTATAATAGACGTTATGCCACATACAGCAGTTGCCACACTAACTTTACTAGTTCTTTTGAGACTGCTGGAAAATTATTAGCAGCTCAACCCCAGTGAACTATGCATGTTTACATAACATACAAAAATCTAGTTTTGAATATCTAATATCTACTCTCTTGATTGGCAAATTATGAGGTAGTAAACAATGTAACCTTACTACTGTTCTCAAACTTATCTGCATACAAATATTAAGATATATACCCTGCAATGCTTCTGGAATTCTGGTAACACCACTTCATCATCAACCACAACCTCAGCATGCTTTTTAATTAGCACAGCCCACTGGAAACAATGTATGAATAGAAGTTCAGTGGTAGAGGCACCAGAATTAATTATCAATGCAATGTTCAGTACTTCAGTCTTTATTTATAGTGGAAGGACCACCTGTGAGCCTTTTCTCCAATTCTCCACTGGGATAACTGGGTCCATTCTTGGGTTGTATCTCCCTGCCTTTGTATCAGCAAAACTGCAACCAGCATAATACAGGGCAAAGTAAATAGACAAAAAGAATTGGCCCTTCAGCTGCAAGCCTGTAGCTTGCTGTGCAATTCATCTACGGGATCAAGGTGCAACAAAGCAAAGATATATCATATATCATAATTCATAAAGGGGAAAGAGCTAAAATGAATTTCCAGTGACATCATAAAAGACTATTATAACCAAGACCAGGAAATGTACCACAGTATTTGGATATTTATACCTGTCTACAAAGCTGGTTGATGATGACATTATGTAGTCATAAGTGTAGCTGAAATTGTACAATGGTACACAGCTGCCACAGAGAGAAGATCCTAGTAAGCATGAATCAAAATTAAGATCCAAAATTTACCAGCGACGAATGAAGAAAAGAATGTCAAAATAGGATTGAAAAAAGATGTGGAACTGTTGACAGCAGCATACATAGGAATCGGCAAATGGATATTAGTATAGATGAAATATTTCTCTACTTTCTGCAGATTTAATACAAAGTGGTAGTACTAAGTAGTACAATATATTACAATGCAACTGACATCAATGGTCAAACAATCAGTCATATAGGGTGTAGCTTATTCCACATAAGCTTGATGGTTGTAAGATGATTTTTCGAGATAACGGCATAAACATTCAAATAACTCTGATATTACAAGTGCAAAACTAATTACCATGAACCTTCCTCAACATTTTCTACAATAATTTGTACTTACAAAGCACCACTAGTTTATTGGTAATATTATGGTTCTCCTTTGTGCAGTAAGATATATCGTTCCAAGAAAATATATTCAATATGATCTTGAATGACAAATCTTGATATCTGCCAGTTTTATTGAGACATTTAGCTACTTATTTGTAAATGCGAAAAAGTTTGTGAAACTCGAAACAAATCAAATGCTCAACCGCCACTGGAACAAACAGAAATTTGGGAGGAAATGTTAATGTTGTATCCAGGTCCATTGGCGTTTTATCTTACAACTCGGTAGTAGATAAACGGTGGGCTGTCAGGCAACAAGAAAAGGTTTGTTCCCATTTGCTGCCTAGTTTTCGTCTATCAGTGTCAGTATCAAAAATAAATATCTTCTCCGAGATGGTTCAAATTGCTTTATCAACTTTATTGTTGTTCCTGAAAACTGAATATGAGCTTGACACTGATTCAATGAGCGCATGCGCATAATAAACTAAACATGGGCAAGACGCAAAAAAGTAGACCTTGCTTTAAATTAGATTTTTTTAACTGTACAACCCTAACAGATCTTGATCTATTTTTAAAAGAAGATGAAAGTCATTTTACTATATTAACGTCATTTTCATCCCCATTTTCATCGCGAGAGCATATTAGCATACAACAAATAGCAGGCTAAAAAAGAAAGGCTAGTTTTAATGCTTGTCTAAAGGACTTAATTACTTCCTACAACCAAATCAAGAACCCAAGATTACACATGCTTGATAATAGATGCAAAAGAACACTACAACTTGAAAAGTTGTTGCCTTCATGTCCGCATGTCAATCTCAAAAATGTGTTTGAAGAGTGTACCTGTCGGAGACAAAAACAAAGCGGTCATTGAGCGGATCCTTAAGAGCATGGCTGAGCAGAATGCGCTCCGCCGTGATCATGCTTGCCTCCCCCCAATCCACCTGCAGCAAAGCACGCAAGCCACGTCAGCAAGAGCACGCGTACTGACGTCTGACGACACAATTGTGTTTCACCTCTCATCATATGGTGCAAATGTGCCAACCTGGATGCTGTCGTTGACCTGACGGTTGTAGAAGAATCGGGACCGGGTAGTGGCTCGCGTGAGCACGAAGCCCGGCCGCGAGTGCACGAGGATGGAGAACCTCCCCTCCTTGTCACTCTGATCATGAGCAGAAAAAGGATACGAAACATCAGTCATCTGCAATTAGGATCCGCACAGGCATTCAGCGGCATTGTGCGGCAATGTGGGGGAACAATGGCGATAGAAACAGGAGTGAATCTGAGTGGGATTCGGATCCGTACGCGGAAGAAGGCATCCCAGACGAGTTCGAGCGGGAGGCGGTTGCGCGCGATGAAGAGGAAGGCGACCTTGGAGTTCCCCGGCGGCAGCGGCGCCTCCTCCACCTCCGCCTGCGCCTCGGCCACTCCCGCCGCCTTCTCCTCCGCCGCGGGCTCCAGCGGCGCGGAGGAGCTATGGAGAAGCAAGAGGAACATGCTGCTGAGGCAGAGGCAGAGCAGCAGCAGGAGCAGCGCCGCCGCGCGCCTGCCCCGGCCGTAGCCGTAGCCGTAGCCGAACCTCCGCGGCTTCATCCCGACGATCGAGGAGGCTGGCCGTGGCCACCGCCGGCGTAAGCCGTACCTGTCTCCCGCCCGCCCGGCCGCCGGCCCGCGGACTCTACCTCAGCGGCATGAGCAGAGCGGACGGAGTAACCGCGCAGATCTCTCGGCTCCCGTGAATCTCGCGAGTGGCGTTGCCTCTCGTGGTCCCGGGAGGTGGGTGAGCAGCGGAGTCGCCGTGAGAGTGTGGTGTGGTGGCGGGGAGTGGAGATGGATCGATCGAATCTTGGGCTTTGCTTGCCGAGGGGACGAAGCGCGCGGCGCGTGCAGTGGCGAGCACTGTCCCAGTGTGGTGCGGCTCGCCGACGTGCCAACTAACCACTGGCCACCGGTCCAGGGGCACGAGCATCCGGATCTGCTGCAGACACAGGCCTTTGCTGCTTCCTCAGTCCAAAAAAAGGATAGAAATCTGCTGCATATCGTGAATCGTGAAGACGGTAAATGTTATCCGATCAGTTGAGCCACATCATCAACGGTATAAGCATGTAGGAGTATGCTGTTTGATTAAAAATAAAATCTGAAATGGTATGCTGATACTTCCTCCGTCTCTAAATAATTATCGTTTTTTTCTATGCCATAAGACTAACTAGACTTATAAAAAATATGAGCAATATTTATATTTTCAAATAAATATATTATAAAAATAGATTCAACGATTTATCTAATGATATTAATTTTGTATCATAAATATTATTATTTTTTATATATATTTAGTTAAAATTGTTTCTTTGAAAACGAAAACGACAGTTATTTAGGATGGAGTGAGTACATGCTGAACTAATACTAGTGCCAAAGCGTTTCATTCCAAAAGCCTAAACAGTGTCCTCGGGAATGGAATTTACAAATGGACCTGATCAAATATCAGTTTAAGAGGGACCAAAAAAAATATCAGGTCAAAATATTTGTCTCTGAGTCTAACCCAATAAACTAGTGGGTCGGGTTAATTTTTATATTTTCCTCTTATGTGTTGATTTTTTTTGGGTTAAGTTGGCTGATCATGGGTCAAAATTATGACCCAATGTACCAGTGGGTTGATTCAAATTGGTTCTTTTTAGTTGAGTCAGGCCGTGTCGGTTGGGTTAGATGGCCCACGATAAGATCTATTTACATCTATATATGCAAAGGAGTAGAGCAATGAGAAGCTAGGGCCTTGTTTAGATTGCATCCAAATTCTAAGTTTTTTCACTCTCTCTTCATCACATCAATTTTTGGACGCATGCATGGAGCATTAAATGTAGGTAAAAAAAATAACTAATTACACAGTTTGGTTGTAAATCACGAGACGGATCTTTTGAACCTAGTTAGTCTACGATCGGATAAAGTTTGTCAAATACAAACAAAACGTGCTACAGTGTCTAGGTTGCAAAAACTTGCAATCTAAACAAGGCCTAGGTGCGATGCGGGACTCGATAGTACCTTGCGTGTAGATGACGGCAATGGGAGACATGAGTTGGTGCCTGTTTGGGACAACTTAGTTTAGCCACGCTTTGACTCAAGCCTAGATTTTGTATGAAGCAAGGGAAACAAGCATACTATTTTGCAATCCTACTAAGTGGGGAGGCGTGCATGGAGAGGGATGGCTGCCAGGGTTTGGGGAGGCGCAAGAGGGGTATGGCTGTCGATGCTCGAGTGACCGCCGGTGCTAGGGAAGGGTAGCGAGGAGGAGGAGCTTGATGGCACGGAGGAGAGCGACGACGCGAAGGACCTTAGTGGCGCGGAGGAGGAGCTCAGGGTGGTGCGTGAAGGTGATGACGCTAGCGGAGGAGGAGCTCAGGGAGGTGCGTGAAGGTGATGACGCTAGCGGAGGAGGAGCTCAGGGAGGTGCGTGAAGGTGATGACGCTAGAGGAGACGTGTGGGGACGAGGAGCTTGGTGCATGGAGGAGCCCAACGGCACAAAGGAGTGTGGGAAGGAGGAGCGGTGACTTGGAGGAGTGCCGAGAAGAGAAGCAGCAAAGGAGCGATGAGTAAAGCTAGAGCCGTGCCATGATGAGAAAAAGTCTCGCTCTTGTTGTACTCGAGAATCACCTCTGTCACGTGGTCGTGTGAAGCGGCTCATAATCATAATGTTTGGAGGCCTCAATCTTTCTTTTTTATACTAGTGAGGGCCGCGCGCCTTCGCGCGCGCCGGTAAGAGAATAAGCTCAGGTTTTTCAATGTAGAGTTCCCATGCCGTATATGATTTACTGTTGTACATATTTGCGGCCGATGTAATAAGCTGGAACCTGCAGGATGCTTATATTACATGCAAAAGTTATGGTAAAGCCCATACGTTAGATAGGTACATTCTAAAAAGCTAGGAATGTCTTAACTGTACAATTCTAGGCTGCATATGTTAAGCAACGATATGTGTAGTGGTACTGGTGTGCACATGAGCACGCATATTATATATAATAAGCATCAGGTAGCAGCTGTGCAGAAGCTGATGCCGATCTTGTTATCTGGCAGTACCTTGTTGTTCTGTTCGAAGCATCAGGAGCTGGTGGATGAATCTGTGTATGCATCTAGATGTGTAAGTTATATGTGGTATTTAAAGTATACGATAAAGTTGGCAAATGGTGAGAGACAATCGGTGTACCTGATTCTTGGTAGCGGCACATATAAAATGGGATGCGCATTAAGAGCAGCAAGTAAATTCGTCTGGAAAATAATTTCCTAAAACACTTCTTTATCAAAATCAGAATAGTGATTTAGGAATTCTTATGTAAAATAAATTTCCAAAAGCCATGGAACGTTCCCAGGAATTGTGTAAAATTTGACCACACACTTACAGAAAAATCTCTACTAAAAGGCTGAAGGCCATGTGTGTCAAAATCATTTTATCGTAAACAATTTTCTTAGTGATCAACTTGGCATCATATTTGGCTTTCATGTTTGTATGTTTTGTGTGTACTGAGCTAAGCGACAAATTTTTGCATCATTGCATTGATCGTGTTACCTGAAGGTCCCCAATGGCCTGGATATGTACCTCCTGCCAATTTGGAAATTTCTCAAAGAGATATTCTATTAGTATCCGGAACTACATGATTAGAAACATACCTAGTTAGCACGGTGCTGGTGTAGCAGTAAGCAGTCTCAATCTTTTAGGCCACCCGTAGGAAAACAAGGCACAAACTTGTCCAACACCCAAGGCACACACAACCTGGCACTCACTGATAATTGCCTTTGCTAACAAGATCTTACTGCAAGCAAGAGGACCATAGTACAGAACTCCTTTGGATGGAGACATGCCAAACTTGTCGAACTTGTTCGGATGCTCCACAGGATAGTGAATAGTCTACATCAGTTTTGATAGAAATTAGCAAGTTGTGGAACACAGACAATAGTACAATACCAAGAGTAGAAGGTCAATTAGCATCTAACTACCTCCTGGAGCTCCCTCTTTACACTCTCCAGCCAAGCAATATCCTCCCAAGAGGACTTGGACAACCTAAATTCTGCAGGTTGGCAGACCAACGCTGCACCGCCACTGTGCCACCACTGACGATGTCATCGAAGGTATTGCCAATGATAAAGACATTAAAAATTGCAGATGTATTAGGCAATTGCAGGCTATAGCAGATAGACAAGAAGGTGGGCAGCAGAGAGAGAGAGTATTTTCACCAAGATAAAAGTACTAAAGCAATTCAATCATGACTATGTAAACATAAAATGGTGCCAACCCAAATCTATTGCCAATGATGAAGACATTAAAAATTGGAGATGTATTAGGCAATTGCAAGGCTATAGTAGATATACAAGAAGGTGGGCAGTAGAGAGAGTATTTTCACCAAGATAAAAATACTAAAGCAGTTCAATCATGACTATGTAAAAATAAAATTTCCAAAGCAAGTAAAAAATGCCTAGATCACAGTACAAGGCATGTTACCTCTGTAATCCAATCTCACACAGGGTTTGTTCATAGAACATCAAAATTGGAGAACTCAAACAAAATTGCAGAGTTGTACCGACTGTGTATATGAAAACTGAATTTTCTAAAATTAGCAATTTGCACACTATGCACGGTAAAAATTCGTATCACAAATGAGGCATGAAGCAAGTTACGAACCTGTAAATCAAGCACCTTGTGATTCTTACTCCTCACTCAGTTTTCTCCAGGCCATCAAATGGATTGTGTAGCTATATGGAGAAGTGGAACCACATATAGTTCTGTGCGAGAAAACATCACCCGCCCACCACACATAGCAACAATTCTGAAACCTACTTTGAAAATAGCTGCAAGAAAAGAACAAATGAACCTGTCCATGAGCTAGTAATTAACTAAATGGTGCAAGAGAGACATGAAAAGGCATTAGCAGGGTGGAAATCCCAATGAAGCCCGCTGCAAACTGCATAATACCAGGCTAAAATAAGTTAAAAAGAGAACAATAATTTGAATTTGTGTAGCCAATCCAGAGATAAAAACAATTTCAATTCAAAGATAAAATAGAGAAGATGTATCCAGTTGAGGTCGCCATTCGTAAGGACAATGAGCATTTGTATCAGTGAACAATATATATAAAGGAAGAGTCTATATTTTTCTTATTTGAGACAGTAATGGTAGACAGATGGAATACATCATGTCCAAGAGCACCCCAAAAGCGATCTTATAATTTTCGTGTCGGGGCACATTAATTTTGAGGCTAATCTCTCTTCTGGTAATTTGTCCACAGCTGCAATCCCCTTATCTCTGAATCAACAAAGGAAAAAAACAACTTAAAAAAACAATAGATAAACAATGGACAATGAAAGGTAGGGAGATGAGGAAATATTGGTTCCTAACCTTTTGTTTGTCTTCCCCAAACTCACTAATCGGTAGTGTTATGCATGTTGCCATGTGTAGCTGAAGTTGTTACCAACAATAAAAAGGAAGATTAGCCAAAAAAAATCTGATAAGATATTTAATAATAGTTAGAGGATACTTTGGACATTTAGCTACAAACATAAACGAAGAGAGCAGAATACATGAGCATTGGGATAGGCTAAAAAGACACAA